CCCCCCACGAACCCACAGTAAAATGAATCAATTTAGAATTAAACTAGAGTTGAATTGGGAATAAATTAGAACTAAATCTGATTTGGATATGAATTTGCTTAAAATTGAACTAGAAATGAATCACAACTACAGCTTCCACCTGTTCACTACAGTTTCATTTATCAAGCTGCTTGGAAATGCAACAGCACTGATACCAACCAGAAGTCAATGCACTTGTACATAGAGATTTGGGCACGGACAAAGGGAGTGTTGGGTTCAGACGCTTTCAATTGTAAGAAGCAAGTACAAATGACTTGGTGAGACTAAAGGAAAACGAGATAGGAGCAGCACAGATTGTCTTAGGAAGGAAAACGCTTAAAAAAAATAAGAAATTCCCAAAACCTTTAAAATAAATATATACAGTAAATTAATAAAAACATTGTAAAACCAAAAAACACAACAAACTGAAAACAAGAAAAAAACTGGGGAAGTCTTGGGGAAGGGGGGGGTCCTGCCAAGAGTCTCTGAGAATTGGTGTTATTGTGTTCTTGGTTTTCCCAAGGATTGTTGATTTTTTGTATTGTTTTTTGGATTTTTTTACCTGTTTGTGTGATTTCTATTGTATTTTTGAATATTTATCTAAGAAATCTCAGTGCAATTCCATACAACTTAAGCCTAGATACAGGTTTCCAGAACACAGGCCCCATGGCGTGCCCTTCTGAAACTAAAAGTTGCTCAGAACTCAAGAAAAGCGCCTCTGAGCACGTGCAATAGCCACTTGTGCCACCAGCATTGGCTGACCAAAAATGCCACCCAAGTGCCTTTGACAAGCAAAAAGTGGAACGAGTGTGCTAAGGCTCTTAGGTTGGAGGCCATCGCTACTAGGTTGGAGGCCACTATTTGTCACCCATTGTGCTTTGGCTAGCAATTGAGTGTTCTCCCAGTTGCCCCAGGCAGCCTCTGGCCCAAAGTTGTCAAAGGCTCAACAACTCCCGGGGAGGAATTGGCCACAAAATGGCCTACTAATCGCCATCTAGGAATTCATCGCGATCTTCAAAACTCTTTGAGCAAGGTGCCAAGCCAAGAGCCGCTCGTGAAAATGTTCCAACACTGACAGGAAGGATGGAAGAAGCAGCAGCAACAAAGGCTGCACCTGGCAGCTTGGCTCCAAAAATCAAACACCTGGCAACTTGGCTTCTGAAAATAGTAGCTTCTTGTTACTAGTAGCAAGGCCAGGAGCCCCTAGTAGCGTCCTTGCTCCTAGTAGCATCTGTTTCTGGGCTTCTTGCAGATCGAAGTTCCCGTCTGTTTTCTACTCCAGCGACACCCAGGACTGTTTTCTCAACTTGGCCAGCTCTGCAAAGGTCAGGCCCAATGTCAGTTGCATCCCAAAAGCACCCAAACTGGTGCCAACTGCGAGGCCCATCAACGGCAGGATGATATCCCAAAGAGGCTCCAGTGGCATCAAATCCTGCGACTCCAAGATCACCACAGGTGGTGTGGTATAGTATATGATTGCAAGCACATTTGATGATCACTGGTGAGCATAAGTCCAAACTGCTCGGGAAGCTTTGCAAAGATGATAATGGTTGATTGCTGCAAACAAAAACAACAAAAAGAAGAACGACTGTAGTCATACCAGGGAACGCTGTCTGACAACTATAAACCAGAAAGAGCACGGACAACAGGAACTTTCAACAGTGGCCTGGAGCTCTTCGCCACTGACAACACGGCTCGGCAGCCCTGCTTCCGCAAAAGCGCCTTCCTGGGGCCTTGGAGACCAAGCAGTTCGGAAGAAACATATATAAACGATATAAACATGTAATATTTTACGTAATCATACATATATATATATATAATATGTATATTATAGTGTATATAATATGAGCGTATATTATAGAGGTGTATACGAGTTTCAAGATCAGTATGTATGCATACATACCATATATGTATCAGAAAAGTTGCAAGACGCTGGAAGCCACAGAAAGCTTGGAAGACAGCTTACTTTCCTTCAAACAAAAGTTGTGGATGTCGGATCTCCATGTTTGTTTCAGGAAGGGTTAGCTGTGACTGAACTCTTTGGGGTCACGACCCTGACCATGCCAAATGTGAAGCTGTGCTCCAGGAGAGGACCTTGGAAAAATCGCGAGCTTTGTGCAAGCCCTCCTGCTGATTTCTTCACTTTTTGGATGGTTCTTCAAAGATTCTATGAAAAGTGTGTTCTTGTTGGATGCTGGTCCACCTCAAGTCAAGCGAATTATTCCTCGCTTGCTCCAAGTGGCCAAAGCCATCACCAGCTTTGTCCCATCAGCAAACTGTTTGGACTCCTTCAATGCATGTCTTGTTCAAAGGGTGATTGATTGCGAGCAGCTTAAGGGAATACACAGAAACAAAGCTCCTCTGCCATAGTACCTGGCACAGGGTCAGGCCAGAGCGGGTTGCTTTGATTCAGGGTGTGAGAAGAACTTCCAAGTTCACCTCGAATCGCTGCAGTTGCCGGACCAAGGAGCCAAATTGCTTTCTGCGGAACGTTTTGAAGACGAAAAAAACACCGCAAGCAGCCAAGAAACTCCTACGTTGGCAGTCAATCTGGCAAGCTTCTGCAAGCTAGCCCTGCTGGTGGACACAGGTGAAAATCTTTTCCGCACAAGAGCGAGAGCTGCCCCAACGAGAATATCTTCCCGTGCAAAGACCAAAGCTCCTGAATACCAGTCAGGGGACCTTAGAGGTTTGTGCGCTTTCCACGCTCGCCTGGTCTTTGATCAGGTTCAATGCATGCAACTCGGAACAAACCCAAATGACCTTCAGACACTGCATACTGGACAAGTGGAAGAAATGCAACTCACGACAGACTCCAGAGGCTACAGTATATAACAATCCACTCAAAGTCAGGCTATTCAATCTAGAAACCTGGCTGGATCAACTCCCCCAAAAGCACGGAACACAAAAAACAGCTGAAAGTCACAGTCATAGCTCAAGAAACTCTGCGCGAGTTCCATCCACCGTCCATCACGTATGCTCTTCTCTTGGCTCATCTCACGGGATAGCCTGGGACCTGAGCAGTGGCTCCATGGATTCGGAAACTGCGAGATGCCCCGAACCATGGCTTTCATGCACCTTCAGTATGAAACTGAGAGATCTCCTGCGGATGAAACATGCTCCAATGTGCATCCAGCTGAGTTGGAGGCCTGTCCCGGCATGGGCACCAAGCTTGGCCGCTGCGAAACAACCCGTACACCACCGGCAGGAGCCGCCTGAGCAGTTTGAGGTACGAGTCAAAACTGCAAAACACCTTGGAAGAACAGGTACAAGATACGCTCCTCAGCTTGATGTTGGTATTCAAGACAGAACTCATGTTCAGTGCAGAGTTGAGGGAAACTAAGGGCATAGCTAAGGATGCTGGGGCCGAAGGCACTGATGGAGGCATGAGCCTGCCCAAGAGTTTCAACAGGCTGTCACCTTACATCATGTCATGAACCTGACAGGCTGTCTTTCCAAGATGTCTTCCGCGGCAAAAGAAACTGCCACAAGCCTCACGCCATACTGGTATGTTATCGCGTTGGACATGGCGACCTACACGACAAGGCATTGGTCATTGCTGTTGGGACGGTATATGGCGAATCTCATTGGACCCAAAGCGCATCTACGCATCTCTTCATCAAAGCCCAGGACATGAAGATCTGTGATCGTACTGTGACACAAAGGATCATAGTTCAGGTGATAAAGGTCAACAGTGTGGTGCATCGTTTGTGTTTTATAGCCGCAGCCGGTCGGAAAAAGTTGTTCTGCAATTTGCTGCCCCACAACAGCCAAGATCTGTTCCGCCGTTGCTCCGGGGCTGCGGCTTGGCCAGCACCAAATGCCTTTTGAAGAAAGTCTCGGGGCCACAATCAATGCCAGGGGGTGGCAAGCACGCGCATCGTTACATTGTATCATTATGTATCACTGTATCACGATCACTCTTGTTGTCTGAGTTATCTCATCTCCATTCACTTCTGGCCAAATATATGTTGCCCAGTCATCAGCCAAGTCCGCCTGCGAGTTCACTGGCGCGGAAGGCAAGCGGGTCACCTCAGCGTGGCAACACCGGACGAATGGCTAGGAATCCATGGGTCCTGAGGTAGATGCAGTATGGGGCATCGGCGGTGCATGCACATTTTTCTGGCAGAGCCGAAATGAGAAAGGATTCATATTGATATGTTTATTCTCTCGCTCGCTCAAGTTTGAAGCATCGTATCAACAAGTTTCGAGGTTTAATGCGAGCTCCTGCTACTGCTTGCAATGTTGATTGATCCACATCTCACAAAGAAAAAGCAACCATCTCCAAATAAAGAGCTTCTTGAAGTTTGGCCTGCAAGCTTTGAAGTGAGCGGCTTGGCTCGTGGAATGACCTGTGGTCCTGACTGTCTTGCATTCAAAGTGTTTGTCAATCTAATCAATAATACGTCAACAGAATCCTTCCATCGTCCTTATGTTGCTCGTAAGTGGACATGTCCACGTCTTCCCCATGAGCTCTTGGAACCTCAGAAGGACCACGACTTTGCTCGAAGAAGAGGTCTCGTGTCTTTGGAGATCCTCTGAGGCTTAAAACGGTGACAACAATTTCGACTGGCATCTCTGACCTCAAGACATAAGCAAGACACAAAACACTTCCAATCAACTCTTCCTCAAAAGGTGACAAACTAGAACAAACTTGAAAAGCAAAACTGTTTTTAGTATCTGCTTCTTCTGCTTCTTGCGGGCTTCTCAATTCTCAGCTTCGAACACTGAGCGTTGTGGCACTGCCAAAGGCGGCACCGCAGGCACCGGCGCCTCAAAGGGGCAATGTGCTAATGGTCTGACACTACTAGTTACTAGTAGTAAAGTAATGCCCTTGTTACTAGTAGCGATGCCCTTGTTACTATTAGCTTCTTGTTGCTCTGCATGCACTTACCAACCTGAACAAGAAATGTAAAATGTGAATTGCAGTAAGACTTCTGACTCTTTGGAGAGTCCTGACCTCGACCATGTACAAATAAGTAGAAGTGTGTCTGGTCTATGTGTAGACTAAGTAGGTAGAGTCGACGGAGGACCAACATGCAAAGTACTTGGCCAGGACAGTCCTTTTGACCTACAATGAGCTGCACAAGGTGACTCGTGATGAGGTGACTACGAATCATGAATGATGTATAAGTCCTCGAAAAAGCACCATTCCACTTCAGTCCTCTTTGGAAGACATTCCACTTGAATATGCCCCGGAACATTGCGAAGTGCCAAGCTGGGCCACTGGCCAGTGCCCGGAAACTGCTACTGCCTGGGAGGGCAGTTTAACAGCCGGCTGTTTAGATCCTAAAAGGGCCACTACCAGGCTTCTCAACTATTTCCCTACCAGACTAGCAAGTATGTTCCAGAAAAGATAGTGCCTGTCCAAACAATAGGGGCATAGTGAAAGTTCCGCCTCTCATCAACAAGATTGCTAATCCTGTCTCTTGAGTAGAAGACATCCCCCCAGAATGTGTCCATTCCTGTGTTCTTTATGGATATTTATGGCGCATCTCTACATTCAGTCTACTGTGGACACTACTGTGAATCACTACGAGGAGGAAAAGGCTACGTCACCTGTGGCGAATCTGTCTCCACCTCCGATCCGGATCTGCGATTATGCCAAGCTGCTGAAGTCTGGTCCAGGAAACATGTCGCCTCAAGAAACGACAAAAGAACTTTACCTGGAAAGCAGATAGACAGCAAACGGAAACGATGGAAAGCGTGCTTCAACCCAGGGCGGCAGAAGAAACCTCTGCCATTCTTTTGACAAGCCTGGCCAACCTCTTTCGTGCAAATCCAGACTTGTCGAACCCTTCCCAGCGTGCCGTCTTCTCCAGTCTCATCTACCGCTGAAACAGGCCTAGGCCATAGCAAGAAGTCGCTGAAAAAATCTAAACAGCGAGTAACCCGCAAATTGGTCAGCACATGCTGCAAGCCAACAACTTCATTGCAAGTGCAACAGTCTCGTTGTTTGTGCAAATGCGCATGGCGGGGTCCCCTCTTTGGAAGGCTTGCTAGGTTTGAACGGTTTGGCACACAAAAAACTTTTTGTCAGGAAGATGAGAGACACACTTAGCTTAGTTTAGCTAAGCACCCCAAGCTTAGCTTAGCCTTCGGCGATGAGCAACTCTTGGCTTCACGTGCAGAGAGTGGCATCGGGGGTTGCCAAGAGTTCGGCCTCGCGGCGGAAAAAAGAGTACACCACTTCCAGGCTTCGGGTCGGACTTTTTTGGCGGGAGGACGCCTGTGGCCCTGCCTCCCCACTTAATTATAGAACATTATATAAAAGTAGGCGCCTACTTAATTAAGTGTACTTAAGCTACAACAAATGGGCGCAGGATAGATCACGCTTCTTCAAGGAAGCTTCCCCCACCCCTAAAGGCGGCGGGGGGAGCTTCCCTGAAGAAGCGCTCCCAGCAATGACTTGGTTCCTAGAATTTCAGAGAAACTTTATTTCCTCCGAGCAGCACAGGCGGCAAAGCCGCTTCGGGTTTCAGGCATTTGGCACTACCTGGGACTTCAGGAACAGCTACAAGCTACTACACCCCTGGAGCCCGCTGTGTGCTGTCTCGATGTCTCTTGCCAAAGCACTACTGGACTCGAAGACAGGAGAAGTGACCAAAAGGCTCTGTGAGGAGGTGGGCAAGGACGCTTGCGATGCCTCGTCATGATCGAGTGAGACTGTGGCGGAGTGACACGGAGCTTGCCCTCTTGGCCTCTCTAAGGAGCGTTGGAGGCCATCGCTAATAGGTTGGAGGCCATGGCTATTAGGCACCAGGCACTTCGATGGAGAAGGCCACGGATCCTGGAAGCAAAAGCTCGAAACTGTCATAAGTCATAAGCAATAATGGGCACAACGGGTCTTCCAGCCTCTCGTTCTCTTGTCTGGCCTCCAAACATGTCGACTTCGGACCAAATTCCGATGCCGAAGCAACTTGAATACAACTCTTTTGGCCTCTACCAGCTCGCTTTGCAACCGAATGTTCTCTTGTAAAAGCTCCTGGCAGGTAGTCCAACACTACAGTGTTTGACCCAAGAATGATCTCATTTGACTTAAGATGATCCAAGCACAGCCACTTCCTCATTTCGCTTCTCGAGCTCTTTACACCTCGAGGAGAGGTTCTCACACAGTTCTTTTTAGTGTTAACCGCTGTGCCTGATTCTCATCTCTTCAGGGCATCGCTACTAGGAACAAGTGCATCGCTTCTAGTAACAAGTGCCTTACTAGTAGTAACAAGAAGCTATTATAATTTAATAGAAGCTATTGGAAGCTTCTCACACATCACTCATTTTACCGGTGTTAACCGCTGTGCCTGATTCTCATCTCTTCAGGGTCCTGAGAATCGCCGTTCACCTCAGACCACTTCGCGCATCGGGCATCGCCATTCAGGATGCCCGCTCGACTCGACCCTGCCTGAGACCTAGCACTGCAATGTGCCTTGGCCCGTTAGTTCAACGTCAAAACAAGTGAGCTACAGATTGCAGATGTGATAAAGAGTGGATAAATTCAGACAACCTTTCTGAAAGCCTGCAAAGTCTCGCTCGCAGTATTGAGAAGTACTGGGAACTTCTCATTCCTTTTTTGCTTCGTATCACCCCAGATGAGCTTTGGTGGGCTCTTCGTAGCGCCAGTGGTAGTTAAAACTCACACTAATTCGTTCGTTGTCGCCAGTATTTGGGGGCACTGTGTGACGTTGCCAGCTTTCAAACAACACGACAAACCCTGCAATTGCCGGGCATTCGATCACTTGTCTTTCTTGCTTTGCAACTGTCCTGGTCGCACACGGACAATTTCGCTGAAAAGAGCAAGGTTCACTCTATGTATATAACAACTATGTACCAAATCAAAAAATGATTGAAGTACTGAAACGGTTCAAACCCAAACTGCACTTTCTTCAATCCCTGCCTGTCCAAGCGTGGATCTTCAAACAGCAGACTTGAACACTTTTTGGGCGTTTGCACGTAGTAGGTGCCACTGATCGTTGATCGATTGTGCTGATGAAAGGTGTGCTCAGTGCCCTCCCCCATCACATTCGCCCAACAATCCGTCATAAACAGCTCAGGCCCATTGATGAGCCTGGTTTCCTCAAAACCAAGCAACGAACAGAATCGCGACTCCAGACTTTGGGGATGGAAACCACATGTGGAAGCACCCACATGACTCGTTCTCACAAAGCCTACATCAAAAAGAGAATGTTTGCGGATAGTAGGAGGGTGAAGGATGGTGCGTATAAGTTGGCGTGCATGAGTTGGTGAGTGTAAGTTGGTTGGTGAGTGGTGAGTTGGTGAGTCACCAGCGACACCCCGCATTTACACATGCATGTTTCCCACTCCCCCACTGCATGGGCCGCGCAAACGCATTTTCCACAGAGAGCGCGCCAAGCTGCATGGCACAAACAGCAGGGACCCGCAGCAACAGCAAACCCTCTACAGAACCGCAAAACGCAGCAGAGAGCGGCGGCGACCAAGGGCAACCAGGGAAACCACTTGCCAGGTGTGAGTTGGGGTGGGTGTGTGTGTGTGTGTCACCCCCAGTTTCTAAGGGAAGTTGTTTGAGCATGCAGGGGGGCAACAGCCAGTCTTCCCACGTTGCCCAACGAAGCTACGGAGGACTGGTGGAAGCATTCACGGACGCCTGAAGTTGCACCTGCATCTGGATTCTCAAGCCTACTATCTATAGAGCGAGTCTTATCTCTCGCTCGCGAACTGGAGGCAAAGTTCGTCGGCAGACTTGTCTGTCGGTTCTTACCCTGACAGGAGGCTCTTTGTTTCTTGTCTAACTTACCTAGCGTGATTCATCTGTCTCGCTCGCCCTGTGGAACTACGTTTAATTCTCCCTACTGCATCGGTGGCTTGTCCATCACAGATTGGCAATTTGCACTGAACCTACGTAAGGGCAAAGCTGTCTAATTCGGTGTTTCGCAGTAAAGTTCTAATGTACTCGTCTAATGCAGCAAGTAGAGGGCTAATCCATCGGCGATTCAGTCTCTGAAGAAATGCTCATTCAGTTGAGCTATCAATCTAAATGTGTTGGTGTGCTTAAGCGGTGGGAGGAGGAGGAGGAGGACGGGGATGTCCCCAGAAAAAGTAAGAAAGAACCCCACACTTAGTACGTGGGGAAAAATAGAAACGTTCTAAGCCTTATTCTGGCAGGCATCTTTTCTAAACTCTTCTATGTGAGGCTTCAACCACTCCTCCAGGGTTTGGATAGGTGGCACCCACTTTTGCAGTGCTGGCAAGCTAAAGTATGAAGTATAACCACCTGCATAGTGCGTCTTTGACCACTCGATACCCTTCTCATCCCGTGCCATTAAGCGCTTGAAGTTAAGCGCAATATCTTCGTTCAGCGCTTTGAGCTCATCCACATCTGGCCGAAGTCGCTTTCGATAGATTGATGAAGGGAAGAGTCGCAGCACCCCTTCCCGAGCTTCCATCGATGTCTCCATGTCATACGCATCTCTCAACTGGCCATCTGGAAGAACTCCTCCTGGCCCAGCATTCACTGAACATCTCGATCTCGCCCGGAGTAGCTGAAAGGCAGATCTTGCCTTTGAAGACTGTACAAGATCTGAAAAGCATTTGAAGCTGAAGAGCTTCACAAAACTACAGATGATTAGACAGAGCACAACCTTCCTTCTCATGGCACGCTGAAAGTAGAGGTGCAAATAATATGCTAAAAGATAGATGCTGAAAGGTGTCTAAAGCCCAATATATGTTCAAGGTGTATATATATATATACAGTAATGCAAAGAAAGCCTCCAATGTTTGGGTTGTTACAACATCTTGCAACCCTTGAACTTCATGTGCTAGATTAATCATGAGCTTGAGCTCAGCAGCCTTCAGCGATGGACACTGGAATGGGACTGATCCAAAATGGTCGCTCACTCAACTCTGGGACGTTGGGGGTCTCCTTAGGGATCCGGCCTGTGCATGTGGCGGTGGATTTGCATGGCCTGGCTCTTTACAGAGATATACTATCTGTTGCCCACAGTGGCTGTGGAATCTCGCTGGTACTCTGCCCTGATAGTTCAACTGCACTGACAGACAAACTCAGCAGCCTTTGCCCTGCACAGCTGGCGGAGCCTGAAAACTGACAAGAAATCTCTGCGAGACTCTGGCTGCATATCCATTTGTACAAGTATCCTGAGATCCACGACTAAAAGGCTGCAATTGCAAGACTAGACTAGTGACTAGTGCTAAAAAGACTCTCTTGAAGATTGCCAGCAAGCATTGTCTTTTCTCTAGAGCATTGAGGAATGATCACTGGTGAGACTTGTCGGGACAAGGAATGCATTGGGGTGATACAGAAAACTGGCATGCATGAGCATTTGCCCGAATCTGCATCTTCCGTCTTTTTGGAAGAGCTGTGATACTGTTTCTAAATTTCGCATTTCCCACGGTTCAGTCCCGGATCTGAAAAGATTCGTGCTCCTCTAATCACTGAGCAGCGACTGTGGAGAAGGCCATGGTGGTGTTGCCGGCCCATTCCGAGCCTTCCGCATGAACGGTCGCTTCTTGCGATTCATCGAGCTCAGCCTCTGCCAAGCCCAGGACATTATGTGCAAAGTCCAAGGCATCCACCTCTTCATCTAAGACTCTGTTGATGGAAGAGTCTCCGACCAAAGCCTCGAAACATTGCTCAAGCTCCTCGAGACTGGTCTTCTCACCATGACTAGTCAGCAAATTCAGGAAGGCTTCCCGTGAAAGTGGTCCAGGCTCATGTCTCTTGAGGGCATCAAAAGCCTGCTTGATTTGCTCAGGACCAACAGCAAAGACTGGCCTATGGTTCACATAGAGCTTCACCAGGTCGTCAAAGCCAATCCTGTCGACATACTCACTGGTCTCGGCAAACTTGGAGTACTTCACCTCATTGGTCATGTTGGTGATCTCCAATTGTGTCGGAAAGTATCCCAATGCACACATGAGGTGAGGGATTTCTTCCACAGGAATCATGCCATCCAAGACTCGAGCCTTGGTGGTGTTTTCATCTTGGGACCTAATTTGTGAGTAGTAGAAGTAGTCCTTCATGTCACAGAAGAAAGCCCCATCCTCTCCACCATCAAGAAGCTTCACAAAGGGCTCGATGCCCGCTCCGCCCATTACACTGGCATTTGCAACCGGCTGGGGATCAATCTTCCATTGGTTCACCGTCAAATCACTCCCTCCGCAAGTGAAGGCATATTGACCCTGGTAGTCCACGGAGATGGCTGCGATCTGTCCGGGGTGGGCAATCAAGCCCATGCACTTGTTTGGATTTCCATCAAGAGGAAGTTGTACCAAGCCCAGAACCTTCTCATGTGTGGCATATAGCATGAACTGCTCCTCACCATCAGCTTCTGCGTACACAGGGGTCATCCTTGTGATGGGCCCTCCATAGGTTGGCGCAAGTGCTGTTTTCCGGCAAGATCGATTCACTGTGTTCCAAATTTTGAATTTGTACTCATCGTTCATGGTCAGAACTTTCTGGTTGTCTCCTTTGCCACCACAGTAAGGGTACCACATGCAGCCGGTGGGACGAGCCTCCTGCTCCACGACTGTATCTGGTTGAACAACCTGCAAGCCACCAAACTCTGAACTCTTGACACTGTACTCTACAAGTCGTCGGTCTTCACCGACTGAAAATAGTCTCTGCTGTTTTCCTGGCTCTGGAACGGCGAAGCAAAGCCCCACAATGGGCCGCCAATGGGACTTGTGCTTTGCAGAATACATCCACTCCATGGGGAAGTTCTTGTCATTCGGCCGGTGCGCATACCGGTACAAGCACAAGGATCTGTCGGCATGAGCCAGTGCAAGGTGGTTGGAGTCTGAGCTGAAGGCAATATGGGTCACACAATCTCTGGAGTCTCTAAAGGAAACGACTTCAGAGAGATCTGTGGACTTCAACAGCTTGCAGTGGCCATTTGTGAAGCCAACTGCTAGCAGCTTGCCATCAGGAGAGAACTGAAGGATGTGGGGCACAAGCTTCTCGAAAATCTTCACCAAATGCAAAGATCTCGTGTTGTAGTTCCACATGTGAAGAAATCCTGAGTAGCCACAAACTGCCACCAAAGGAAGCTGCGGATGGCAGCACAGGCCGTGCACAGGTGAGTCCAGACCTTGCAACACAAGCCTGCCCCGACGGTTCTCTGGGGAGAGCTCATAGAAAAGCTTGGACTCGACCATCACCACAAGAGCAGAGGCTGTGCTAACAAGGAAGTTTGGGCATTTGAAATCATCTTCAACACCAACCCCTGTGCTAATACCCTGCTCAAACTCTTCATCCTCATTGGCCCTTTCAAATGAGATAGACTTCACGGCACCAGCTAGGAGGTCTTCGAACCATGCTTGCACCCGGAACTGATAGTCGTAGAAACGCACAGCCCCATCGCCAGTGCCAATGACTACACGAGCTTTCTCATGAACCTGGAGGACATTCAAGGAGATGTCTGGACAAAGCTTGATGATCTTCACTGCCCTTCGCTCATCAGGTCTGCTAAGGCCATCCACAATGAGGGACAGGTCCCAAATCACCACATCCCCATCGATGGTACCAGTGGCCGCCTGTGTGGAGTCGGGCAGGAAAATGGTCTGGGTGTAATCTCCAATGCGCTGCTTGAAGTCCCGCGGAGCCAAGGCTGGGGAGTAGAACTGGAAGGGCTGCTCCACGTCCCAAGTCCAAAAGAATACTCGGCGTTTGCCATTGGTTGCTATCTCATGCGTATCCCAGGCGTTGAAGAGGACGCAGGTCTGGACATCCTGTGTGCCTACTGCTGCCGTGCAAATTGGCCCATCATTGTCTGATGGCCAATCCCAAACTGAGATCGTTTGGTAGTCCTGCTCTCCCTCTTTCTGGCCCTTCTCAGCACGGCTCTGCTCAACTTGGGATGCAGATGCAAGAGGATCCGAAGTAGGGGTTGGCGCGGCCAAAGTCACCAAATATTGCAACTTTGGTGCAATGTCAAGCGCATGGACACCATAGGGATGAGGATTGAAGAAGGTCTTCACAGGAGTGCCGGACTCGCGTTCCCACACCACCATCATACTATCTGGGCCAGTGTCGGCAGTCACAATCCACTTTTTGTCTTTCGAGACCCCTGTCGCTGAGATTGGATTTACATGCCCCTGCAAGAGCCGTTGTACCCCGGTGTTGTAGTCGAAAATCACACCCGTGTGAGCAGCTGCATAGAACATATCGGATGTCTCGGCGTCCGAAAGGTTGTGCACACCTGCAACCACATCCTTGTTGATGCCAAGTGTCCAATGCAGCGTGAGCGCCTGTGGCTCGCTACTCGAAGTACTATTGGGCATAAATTTGGAGGGGTCATTCTCCGATTCCATGGCGGCCACAAATCCTATCCTTGAGTGATCCGTCTGCAGAATCAGGCAAAACGTCTGTCGAATGTGGCACCTACAACAAAACACGGTTGCGATCGTCAAAAGAATTCAGCCAAACCATGGGAGCAATGCAACAAAGCAATGAGTGAGGACGTACGAGCTTTGCAACAATGCTATTCAACTTGGCCTTGCGGCTCTGCTCGAAGTGCTCTTTCCAAGCTGCCTGCAAGTCATTAGTAGCATACTCTCAGGAGTCTTTGTGTCACCTCACGTAGATCAGGCTCTCTCTCTCTCTAAAAACGGCAAACATTGTTTGGCACAATCCGTCCACCTCTTGTTTGAGATGACGTTAATGCATTGCCTGTTCTCTTGCTATTGGGTCCAGAACGGCATGACCCAACCCTAGTCAAACGATCATTTCACAAGCTCAACATAGCTCAACCCTTTGACATCTGCACCTCCAGGGTGGGGGCATTGCGACCAATCCTCCGGTTGGTAATCTGCGGTGGTGAGCCAGGTCTCACCTTCCAGGCTGACAAGTTATTTTTTCTTTGGCCCCTGGGGCCGTGGTATATAGGCTTAAGTAGTTAGTAGTAAGGGGTAGCTATATGCTCAGCTCAAGAAGGGCTCAGGCTTGATTGATTCTGTTCCTAGATGTTTGAGAAAACTTATATAACTGTTCTTTTACATCTTGGCTTCCGAGTTCTGTTCCCTTCACTGATTCAGCCGCAGAACGAATATCAGGAGGTGAAGACCTTGAGTCCAACAACAAAACCCCTCATACTGACCACCTCTCTCCAGCCTCCCACCCACCAGGAGGTACATGCCGAATGTTGGTACCAACCATGTGCAGCGTCGGGTCGTCCCGCCTTTAGACAAGCAAATAAAATCATTGCAAAAGGCCCTTCAGAGAGAGGAGAAACCGCGAACATGGAGTACACATTGCTGGCCCAAGTCACTTCACGCGTACATGTCGGTTGGTGGAGTCAGAAAAGGCAATCAGGAAGAAACCGGGCTCCTAAGACAAGACTTTGAGACATGGTCTAGAAATGTTCACATGGCGATCAAACTTCTAGACCACCTTGATGGGGCTTCCCTCTCCAAAAAGTCACAGCATCCGACGCTACGCTTTTTTCCGCGGCAGGACGAACTTTGGCCGAGTGTGAAGCCCTTCGAGTCTGGGAAGCCCATCCGGTGCGAATGGAGAAAACCAGAAATGCTCAAAAGCCTCGTTGGCAACCAAACCAAATGTTTGAAGGGCCAGTTGCTCCAATTTCATTCAACATTTCCAGCTGCTCCGGCTCTGGGTGCGACCTCACTTCGCTTCAAGGCCAGTAGCCTCCTCCAGCTTAGCTCTTTGGAAAGTCGAA